AAACAATGAGAAGACAGAGGGGTTCGATTATAAGCTGAAAGGACTTTGAAACATTATAGTGATAATGAAATGGCAGCAAAACTGTCATTGCCAATTAACTGTTTCATTTAAAAGAACTGATAAATACATTTCCCCCACTTATGCAAAGAGGTCTTAGGGCTAGTTCACACCAGAAACTGCATCACAAATGCGTGCATCTGTGCAGTTGCATTGCGATCCTTTTTGACGCGTTTGTGATGCTTTTTTTTATACTAAAAATGCAATTTCATTCCACTATAATTGAATGCTAATTGCATTTAAGCATATACTGAGTGTAGATGATCTTACTTTGGGGAAATTACCACCACCATGTCAACAGCAATAAATTAATTAGGACAGTGCACAAGATACACCAGCATGCCTTTTACATGGAAAGGGGGAGTGCAGGTTAGGGGGTGGGAGGGGGTGATTTTTGCAAACAGGAGGACAGTGTTTATCAAACATGTGAGGAGTGGAGATGGGGGTGGCTGATTATTCTGCATACTCTTTAGTACATGAGTGGTATACAACTATCTAGATGGGCTGTATATAAAACATCAAAGTTGCTGAGAAAGAGAACCACATTTTTATTTATACCCTGTTCGGACCAGAAAAATCAGGGTATAATTTTGCAGTTATCTCCCTCCACTTTCCCATCTTCTGCTGATTGGTTTTCTAGTCAGGATGCTTAGGATCATAGAGGAGTGGACACTCCTCCTCATATTTTATGAAGATGTCAGCATCCACATCGGCCATGGCTCCAATATCTCTTCTACCTACAAAGAGGAAGTCCTGGATGATGGTAAAATCAATCTTTTTTGGGATGCGTTCCGTTGCGTTTTCATGCGTTTGCATAAATTTTTGATGCGTTCTGGTGCGATCCGATGCAGCTAAATAGGACTAGCAGTATTTTTTCTTACTGCATCGGAACAGACTGCAATGGTGTGAATAGAGCATTAGAAAGCCCATAGAAAAGCATTGTGATGTATTCTGGCTGCAGCAGCCAAACTGAACGGACTGCATCACAACTGCATATGGTGTGAACTGGCCCTGAACTGGCCCTTAATTTTCCCACTTCAACAGTTTTCTTTACTATTGAAAAAAACAAAAAAACTAAGCTGGTTCAGTTTACTGATAAGTTCCTGCCTCTTAAAGTCCAATTCAATTTTTTTTTTTAATCGGGGGAAATTTCCACTAGGTATTTATGTGTCTGTGACCTCACTGGGTAGATTTTCCGTAATTTCCTGTGCGTGTGACACTAAAACAAGTGAGGTGGTGTCTCCAAGACAGGAAGGCAAATAGATCAATAAAATAATTGTTAGCAATTTTGGTCCTGACAGGAAGTGATGGGAAATCTGCCGACAGCGACAAGATCTCAATTCCCCTACCTACTCTCTTAAAACTGCTAATCACGTGGCATGCTGGGTCCCAGGTCTACTGTGGTGTGGAAAGGTCCAGTCTACAGTTCCTAGGTCACTTCCTGGATACAGGGAATTCTCCACACTGTCAGTAGAGTCCATCCCAAAGTCCTCACTGGAATCTTTTCCTTTTCTTGATGCCTAAAAAAGGTGGCTCAGGATCTGACAGATGATTCAAGTGAGTTTTTTTGGGTTCTAAATGCTTTAAAAAAAAAAAAGTCTACAGATTGGGTGGGTGAGGGCAGAAATATGATTTTTTCATAGACATGTACCTAAAGTTTATTTACCTTATAGTTACTGCTAGAATGTAGTATAGAATATAAACAGGTATTTAACCACATTAGCGTCATAAGAATATAGAAATAGAAGCTACTAATGTGTGTTAAAAAGCTGTAAAGGGGGAAAAAAAGCTTTAAAAAATATTGCTATATCATAACCTGATGTTTAAAGAACAATGCTGGAACTACTGCTGGAATTTAAAGGGTTAGTAAAGCATTGCAGTTTTAAAGCATCAGAATTTTGAAGCCCTTTCTTTTCATTAAAGAAATGAAAAACATGTGACCATTAAAATGACTACAAACAACAGATAGATGTGCAGGATTCATTATGCTGTTCTGCCTCTTTTTCTCTCCTTCTCTTTTGTTCCCTCAGATCTCCCTTCCTCTTCAAGGTTTTGCCATACGAAAAGCCCTGTACCACTGATGAGCAGTGAGGGATACAGGTTTGCTTTGAAACTCTCATGTATAAGCAGAGGAACAATTGCCAAGGAAGAATCTTTTCTTCCACATCACACTGCTTGATCTATCTCCGAGTTTCAGCTTCTCATTAGTCCCCGATTTGGGGCCTTTCGCTATACTAAAGCCTATCAGATGTCAAGCCCACTGCCAGCCATGTGAAAATCAGGCCAACGGCGGATCCTGCTGTAAAAAGCGAGAAAGAATGAAAGGCTCCTACTGACTAAGGATAATAAAAGCACTTGTAAGAAAACAATATTCATCACAACAAGAGACGTGAAGGTATAAAATGGCAAAAAAAAAATATTTTTCTCAGTGGGGACCAAATATTTCTAATCCAAAATAACATTTATGGTTGCTGCTGAGGTAAATGGAGAAGGCTGTGCTAAAAATACTCTTATCTATGTGGCCCAGCATGAAATTTCAACATCCTGAATTTCCCCTAGTAACCTTCTGCTCGCTGCACGCTGTGCTGCCTGTGGAATATAACCTTACTTTTTGGCACCAGGAAGCTGATGCTGGTAGTCTTTGGCACAAGCTTTTTGTCTCCAAAACCAAGTTAAAAAAAAAGAAAAAAAGACCCTCCTCCATTAACCTTAAAGTGGTCCTGTCACAGTCACATACAGTGACTACAAGGTCAATTGTATACGAAAGTATACCTGCTATAAGAAGAGGCAATATACTTACCTTTATGGCAGCCCGTGTTTTAAAACACAGTCGCTTTCCTGCTCCCCAACTGCTTCTCAGGGTGTGGAATACCTTTACCTCTGCCACACACAGGGTGGTTTCTTCCCCCAGCTTGCATGGCACTACAGGATGTAAGCGCCAATAGTTGGGACCACAACATGGGGCGGGGGAAACATGGTGGAAAATTTGAAGTGGTCAGGGAGCAGCAAACCTGCAGTGTTTCGCGACACAGGCCAATGTGTGTTAAGTATATTTATGCTTATTTTAGCAGGTATGCGTTTTTCTTTACAAGTGATTGTATGGTCATTTTAACCCGACCCGTAAGCTACCCCGTCACACTTAACCCCTTATTTTATTCAAGCACTAAAACTTAATGCTTAAATTCCAACACTTTAACCCTAAAATGAATCTTTGACCTGCCTTCAACACAACCCTAGCCATATCCTAACACCTAAAATGTAACCGTAAAGGTTAACCATAAAACATAGCCTAAACACTAAACAAATGGGCATCAAGTCCTCTAGACTCAAGTAACCTCATTCTTCAAACAAAGCAGTCAATTGTGCATTATACAGTGCTTACAAAAAGTATTCTACAGGGGCTAGGGCACACTTTTTTAAATTCATTTTCAGCCCTGTGTGGCCAACAATATTAGGCGTTCTCTGATTGGACCAGGGGTGAATAGTAATGTCATTTATTCAAAGAAAAAAACACTAAGTGTTCGCTGAATGGCCGCTGTGCCGAGTGAGCAACTCTCTGTGTTTTCACAGCAGAGCAGAAGTCATTTAGTACAACGCCGTAGCAGGACCCAGGAGATCGATCTAAAGCACCGTAGTAGTGCCATGTAAAAAATATGTATACTTACATTGGGCCAAGCTGGACCAATGTTAGTATATGTAAATATTTACACCTGGACTTCAGCTTTTAGTGAAGGTTACCCTTAAAAAAAAAAATCTAACCCTCAATTTACCCCTAAAGTATAACTGAAGTGTTCAAATAAAAATTTATGCCAGCAATTTACTTATTAAACTCATTTAGGCAACACCAATGAGTAACTCAAAATGCAAGAGACTTAGATCATCAAAGGTGCTGTGCAACATTGGATCTTCACAAGTGTCAGCAAGAATTTACACAGAGACAACATCATCATCCATCATTTGGGTTGAGACATCCTTTAGAAATGGGCCACTAATTATTACACTATTTGAGAAAGATTGTTCTACAATTAGCATCTGCATTATGCTACAAAAAAACCCATCTGACATACTTCATAAACAAACACAGTTTACACATTAAGAGATGATGTACCACACGTAAACAACCGGGGGGAAAAAAGTGGATTTCTAGTAAACACCAACATTAAATAAGAACAACATTCAGTTACTTTCAAGTAAGCATATTAAAAAACATGCAAACATGCACACTTTTAAGCAATTCATCCGTCGTGATCACCCTAAAATCAATCTGTGCATTTCCATGCAGGCCAAATGCAGCCTCTTATACCCATCTTCCCTTCACTGCCTAGATGCTGCGTTAAGTGCTAAGAGCAAAGAGACCCTGTGTAGGGGAGCTTGTTGCTCTCATTCCTTCCATGTGACAGCAATGGAGGTTGGCAAATGGCCACTCAGCCACCAGTACTGCCAGTGCTGCCACAAAATCCTCAGCCCTGTGTAAATTACAACCGGGACTGACTGATTTAGCACTAAAATAGGACTACTTCGCCTCACTCCAGGCTGCAAGCAGAACAGCAGATGACAAAGAGATGGTAAGTATAATGTGGTCAGTTTTAAAGTGAACCTTTTGCTCTTGTCCTGCATAGGCAATGCAAATACTCATTTTAAAGCATGCAGTCATTTAATTGCATTACTGCAACCTCTATTCAAAAAATTGTACTAGACAGAATATATACAATACCTAAATAGGTCAAAACCTTTCTTTTATCATTTTGGGGTATTTTGTGGCTTCAAATCATCCCCAAATGTTCAATTTATGGTTTGCAAAAAGGTGATGGAATATTAATTTACATGTATAGCTCCGTAGCTTAGGTCTGCCAATTTCACACTCAAAAGTGTAGCTCCTTGGTTTTAATAGCAAAGATCTAATTTACTGAGCAACAGGAAACGCAAACAGAAAAATGACTTACTGAGTAGCCGTGTCCTGAAAGTGACTGAGCTGAGCTCTGTGGAAGAAAAAGAGGATGATCAAAAAGACATAAAATTTGTTTCCCAAACCGAAACAATTTCTTTTTCCATTTACCTTAAGACCTGTTTCATGTTCGCAGTACCACTTTTCACCACAATAGGCTGTTGTATAAGGTTATCAGTTACATGTTAATGTATTGTCTTTTTTAATAAATTTAAAAAAAAATTATACAATGGTTGATATACGTGTTAAAAAGAAGTTTACAACATTAGCAAACTGTTTACACATCATTCAGTTGCACAGTTTTCCAGTGTAAGTGTAGACAGATATAAAAGGCACCAATTTAATGCATATATTAATTACAAAATATATATATATTTATTTTTTTACTTTTGAATCTGTACTAGACTCCTTTAACCCCCACAACATCAGCATTCATACTGGGAGAGGAAAGGACAGCACTCTAAGGCAATCAGACTTTACTGAATGGCCAAGTGCTGTTCTTGCTAAATGGAGGAGAGACCACAGAGATGACCTTTCAAGTAATCTGGTATTCCTTATCTGTCTGAAAATCATATTGTCCAAGCTGTATTGCTTTATCTGCATCAGCAAAAAGTAAAAGACCAGACAATCTTACAGTGTCTGGCAGGGGTTTCTGGATTGGAATTTTCTGGTAGGTAAGACAGTTCACACACATGCTTTTCAATTTAAAGGTACACAAATAGCTATAAATAAATCTATATATGTATTAAAACATAATTAAGCTACCCACACAGACATCAAATAGCAGTTGAGAAGTTACAATTAGATATCTTAACACAAACTTATACAACTGCCAAACACATGCAAAATTATACCCTACAACTGTCTATTGACCAAAAACGTTGAAATGCTACATTCTGCAAGTGGAACTGAATTAATACATTATTTCTCCTCCCATGCCTCCTCACCCTCCCTAATACCTAAAAAAAAAAACTGGTGACAAACATAGCCCTAATCTATTAAATATTCTTCTCCTGTAATGATATGTGTCCTTGTCGTCTTCTTGCTGCTTAGAAGAACCTCCAGCCAGGGAGCGTGCGTCTGTCTATAGTAATTGGGACTACATGTCCCATCATGCATTGCAGTACCTCACTGCTGACGTGCGGATACTGCCAGGCTCCATTCACAAACGCGCTAAACATAAAAAACAATGTGCATTGTTTCCACTAGGGCGGAGTCCACGTGGTACGAAATCACGCGTCCCGCAAAAAAAGTCAGAGCGCAATTTTAAGGGCAGATTTCAAGTCTGACAAGACTTAAATAACTGAAAAAGGAGGAGACTTTAATATCGCTTTAGCGACCATCAGCTTATAGTATAACTGTTCAGCAGACTGTCCCCTTTAAATTAATCAAAAAGTCGATTATTTACAGTTTTGTATACCTTCATTTTTTTTACCTTTTCGCAAAAAGGCGCAATTACAAATTTGCTAATATTTGTTATTTATTAACTCAATACAGTTTTATCTTTTAGATTTAGTCAAAAAATATTTTTTTTTGTGCACGGATACTGATTTTGGTGTGTTTTAACAATTGAATTGTGTATTTTTATCGGTTTAATATTAATTTGAGAAACATTTGCGCAATTATCGCAGGGCCTACAAATTTAGTATCACCATCTTTTTATTCTACCGGGCCTGCGCTTTCAGAAAATATATGGTTTGGGGGGTCTTTTACAAACGCTAGCAACCCAGCAGTTGAAAATCAAATCAATAGGAAAAAAATTGCAGAAAATTAAAAAATGGCTTGGCCAGCTGATTTGAAAAATGTTCCGGAGGGCTTGGCAGCGAAAGGGTTAAATCAAAGTTGTTGCTCAAGGGGCAAAAAGTTTAACTTTAAATATTACTCTGTGGAACACCCACATATACTGTCAACATTCAGTAATCTCGAAAACATATGATGGAGCCTATAGAAGAAGAGAATTCCATTTTTTTAGTTAATTCATCATGCTCTTGTAGAGCCTGTCACATGCAGATGTCACAACAGTGAGCACCTTCTCCATGCCAATTCTATATATAAATCTTGAGCCTACCCAAGCATTAAACATGGTGAGGACAAGTACAATACACTGAGTGGCCAGATTATTATGACCAAAATTGTAAATGGACAAACAGCGCTCCCGGAAAAATGGGCTCAAAGTGAACAGTTTGCAGTATGCTGCCCTGAAAACCAGTAGGAGGACCTGTGTTTGCTATAAAATAACTTACAACAGGGCGCAAGACTTACAGGGTAACGGTTTGATGCATTCGCGCTAACAGATGTGTAATAAAAAAGCACACTTACGTTTGGGTGGGGAGGGACCAGGAGAGGGGTGACCTTCTTAGAGGATCGACACCGCTAGAGCCTGAGAAAGAGGTTTTCTCGAAACGCGTCGCTCCCCGGTGTTATCCCGAGCCTTCTCTCCATTCCTGACTCGCTAAGCAGGCTCTTCTTAAACAGCCTTTTTTAACAGTTCCTTTCACATTTCTTTCCCTCACATGGTTAGACGCTACATGCCCCGGCATCACTAGACTTTCAGGGACAGAACTGCTCGCCGTTCTAAGCACCGTCCCGACAGCTGCAGAAACGGGAGCCTGTATAGCCGAAGCACCAATAAGACATATCCAGCATCCTTCCCCTATACTCCGTCCCTCCCCCAGTCCACACAAGACTGACACGGATACAGTCCCCGCACTGCCTTGCCTCTCCTCCTGGCCACAAGTTCTCCATCCTCCTACCGCGGCTGCCAGCTCCCGCGACCACCTCAAGCCAAGAACTGTGGACCACTCGATCCTCTAAGAAGGTCACCCCTCTCCTGGTCCCTCCCCACCCAAACGTAAGTGTGCTTTTTTATTACACATCTGTTAGCGCGAATGCATCAAACCGTTACCCTGTAAGTCTTGCGCCCTGTTGTAAGTTATTTTATACCTAACATTGACTTGTCGCTGACGGCCACAATTCGCACTTCAGACCCAGATTTTCGGCTGACAGTCCAGTCTTTAAACACTTTAACAACAGCTGCTTTTGAACATTTAACAAATTCTGCTGTTTTGCTGATACTCGCTCCATGGCTCCGAGCGCCAACAATCATCCCACGTTCAAAGGCTGTTAATATGGCGTTGTTTACCAATATCTTCAGAAAAAAAATCACTTCTACTGTCGTGGTAAACTACCTGCTTCCCTATTTATAATGGTCTGGCCCTAGCAACTACAGCACGAAATTATAGCTAATTTGCCTACAAACGTCAGGTTGTCATAATAGTTTGGCCACTCAGTGTAGATCAGTGGCACAGATTTCAGTTTGGAAAACATAGCAGTAGATCAATAGTTATAAGCCCTTTCCATTGCAAGAGATCACTTGGTACTATTTCTGAAAGCCAATTAAACATTCAGTTTAAATTAGCTAAATTAATTCCAGGTACATCAGCTGATTACATTCTAGGTACATCAAACAACAACTAATTTAATCTATAAAGCATTGACAACCTGAGAAGAAAAGCATGTCCCCTGCCAGCATGCTCTGAGGCAAGGACTCTTGCTCTCTGTGCGGAAGCAGTGGTTTCTCAGCAGAAGTCCAACACACCCTGGTGACTCAAATCTATAGGTCTGCAATCAGCAGAGCTCATATTTCCTCATATTTGATGCGAAAGCACTAGCCCTGACTAAGCAGGGATTATGTTTGGACTTCTGCAGAAAGACCAATACTTCCACAGAGAGCAAGTGTCCTTCTCTGCAATATGCTTGCAGGGGACAGGCTTTTCTACTCAGGTTGTGACTGCTTACAAAAGAAAACAAATCATCAGCGTTTACACACTTTTTGTTTGGTGCCTCTGGAATATATTAAGCTGATTAAGACTGAAAGTTCAGTTTGGCTTTAGGCATGACCAGCGCTGTCACAGATCAGCTGCAGAGCTGATCTGTGCCTCACTCCTTTGCACTCCTTTGCACTTGTTTTTTTAATCTTTTGCTGCTGTAGGTCTGCTGGCACCTGTGGTTCCACAAACTTGTGCTCTGCTCTTGCTGCACTGACTTAGCAGCTATGGGTGTCGCCCGTTTCACCTGATGGTTAATATACCTCCCTTCCTGCCCCATGTGTCTACCTATTTAAATCCCTCTCAGACCAGTTTTTAGTTGCTTAAACCACACTTGTTCCTAAGCCCCGTGCAATTATTCCTAACCTAACTTTCAGTGGACTGATTTCTTGTGTACCGACTCGGCTAATTCTCCTGATTGTGTTTGTTTGCTGCCGTCCTGACCTTGGCTCGTTATCCGGATCTCCATCCATCACTGTGTCCTGCACTGTGTGGTACTTTCCACACGAGCAGGGTGAACCTGGGTTCGTGACCTGGGGTCTGCGTGCAGCTAAGTCCAAACTTCTGTGAGGGGGTCCCTGGGAGAACACTGGCTGGCCCTTAGATTCCACACCCTGGGGGATCACGTGTCACCTGCTCGCCTGTAGGCTCACATCCCTAGTATCGTGATAAGCACTTGGCCATACACAGCAAGACTGGTGCACATGAAACAACTTGGCCTCATATTGAGACATCAAACCTAACAAAAATGACCATAAAAATATAAAGTTTAATTGTTACTATCTAGACATTCTGTACCTAAATTGACTGAATAATAAAGGAGAAGCTGCTGAGGACACAAATACGCAGTATTTTTTATATAATTTAAGTGATTGTTAGGTTTGATAAATACATATCAGGAGTAGAGATGAGGCTGTGCTTGGTGCGAACTCCCCACTCAATCTGTGGCAGCAGTTGGGGTGGTGGTGTTCCCTGCCACTTTGTGATGTATAGCTGCAGGGCAGGGAATGCATCTCCCCATAACTGATTGGGTCAGGAGAAGAGGGGGTGGTCAAAGTTTCAAGCATTCTTGGCTGAACTTGGGCAAACTGATCACTTAATTATCACTAATCAGAAGCAATTGATCTGTAGACCCACCATCTGCAATTATCTATAAGTATGTGTTTGTATATTGTCCTTACTAAACATTTCTAAAGGTGCCTTTGTT